ACTCAAAATTATTACTCCCACGTCTAGGCACATTCATTACTAGACATTTTTTAACCGTGCCTGGGACAGTGAATTTCTAAAAAATGATGGTAAGGGCTTATGTATTTGTGGAGAGAATGGAAAACGGATCCTTAATCCCATTCCCCACATATTTGCGGATCTATTTTCCGTTCTGTCCAAAAGTCAGCCCTTAAAATCATTCTTAAGAAATTATTTTTGTGCCTGCGTCCCAGGCAGCCTTAAGTTACGGATTACTGATGTACCTTGGGGTCGTGCATAAAGCATATGATCAATTTTCGGAGAATTTAGACCCCAACCCCCCTGGTGTGGCACATATGTACATGTCACAATTTATTTACATGGGAGGGATATGTAGGATGCTTTGACCCAATACCGTCGCTCAAGTGGGTTACATACTTTTCGCACAGTCATATATGTAGATAATATTCTGGGTATGTTTTCCGTCATTGGCCAATAATAATTTTGCAAAGTTCATTTCCACACACGTACATACATACATGCACACAGTAATTTTGGTATTATTGTTAACCTTGTAAGCAGTACCGCCGAGGTAAATGGTGGTACGAAATACCTCGATATTGCTCGATCCATTTTCACAATTAATTCGCACCATTTGCGCCACGGATTGTTCGATACCAATGGTGCGCCTAATTTATTCTATAATGGTCAAGGGGATTATTAATTAGCATCAATTGATGGAAAAAACTCGTGAACACACGGACGGACAGACGGACAGACAGACGGACAAGAGGAATTCAATAGCTCTCGTGTCACGCAGGGTGAGCTAATAAACCTGCAATGCTCTTTGCTATCAGCCAAATGCCCACGGTTCGGAGGTTCACAGTGACATGTTTATGGCACCAATCTCAAATTTTTCTGGACAATTTCGCACTGTGTATTTTGTGCTTGTGCATTTTACTTGATTTTATTGCGGTAGAATTTTTTCCTTTTAGAGACAGCCTAGCTATTGGGATAAGTCATGCCTTTCACGGAGATGAAACCAGCAACTCGTTCTGAACAATGCTGGAATCATTCATGCTATTAGCTGAATGCCCACGATTCGGAGGTTCGCACTGACATGTTTATGGCACCAATCCCAAATTTTTCTGGACAATTTTGCATTGTGTATTTTGTGCTTGTGCATTTTACTTGATTTTATTTTAGTAGAATTTTCTCCTTGTTAAGACTACGTAGCCGTTCAAATATTAACTGCGTTTCACTCAACTAAACCGTAAAATGTTTGCACAATTCTGAAATCAGCTTATCTATGAGCTAGATGCCCACCTCTCGAGGTTTCACACTTATATATTTCCAAAGTAGTAAATTTTTTTCGTGGTTAAATAGTTTCCTCACTAAGAAAAATGTGCAATTTTCAGCACGGGAAGAGAATGGAAGTTGAGTCTGCTTCCTCCACCTCGCAAAAAGTGTCCATTTTACAACTTTGACCTCTAAAACTTTGACAAAGTCTGACCGTCGCAAAAACTGCCTGAAGAAACGTTGGTTGCATTGACATTCAATCAATCGGAGGGTTACACTTGGCACCTTCGCAATGTTAGTGATTTTTTTTCTAGGTATTCGCCTCACTAAGAAAAGGTATATTTATCTAATTTACCAGATTAGAGGTGAAGTGTTCTCTGGACAGTAAAGTGTTGCCATTTCATGTTTCTAAATCATTTATTGCGACAACTACAAGTCCATTACATATTTTATGCAAACATTAGATCGTTACGAAATTTGTACGCATTATTGATTTAAACAAAATAATCTGATCAAAGTGACATACACATATAACAGCTTTTTGCATCACTTGTTTGTCCTGGTCTTCACTTTTAATTTTGAAAGTATTAACAAAGAAATCGACCAAATATTTCTCTGTAAATCTTAAAAATTGGTTACTTATATAGAAGCCAAACCATTATTTGTTTTATAGCAGCAGATTTTTCTCTCAGATAAATTGTGCCCATTTCAATACTAGCTTCGTTCACGTGTCATTAGTGGAACATTAAAATTTGGCACAGCAACCATGTTTACAGAAGAAATTAAAATACTTGTCGGATTCATCCTCGTTCTTCATTTCTCTTCCGCTACTCCTAGCCTGTGGACAATTCCTGACTTATTTTCCGCAAACTCACTACATTTCGTTATACGGTATGAGAACAACTCGATTGGAGCCAGTGACCAGGAGCTATCAGATTTTAACACACTTATTAAAAACAATCCGTATTCGGCAATCTTATTCCACCATTTTTTACTGAGTCCTTCCCAACTCCTCATATTATCTCGTTTAGATATGCTCTTCAGATCTCAAACACCGTTAGTGACATTCCTTCATCTAAGCGGGGACATACTCCTCGAAACCTACAGTGGTGCCCCGGCCCATGTCCTGCTGCAGAATATAGTCATAACATATTTTAATCCACAATTCATATTTCAACATTGTGAAGATCCCTGGAATCCAATAAATTACTGGAAATATCACATCCATTCTGGAACTTCGAAATTGATTCTAACTAATTTCTACAAGCCTCAAATCGTCCTAACTCCCTGTGTCATATCCGATCTAGTGTCTCCGACTGCTTTGATGGTCACGACAGATTTTTCCCTATCCCAACTTGCCCTTTCGTGGAATTCCTTAAATAACAACTTGCTAAAGAGGGATATCGAAGTGGATAGTGGCAGTCGTCTCGATAACTTTGATTGTAGTGTGAATTTCTCCAATTTGAAGATGGGTACACCAACTGGGATCTGCAGAATATTATTTTTATCTGGGGTCCACAACTTTTCAATCGTAGGGCGTACCCAGTCCAACAATTCAATGTCAATTTTCTACCATAATTCGATATTCGATGACTACGTATACAAGGTCGTTTTGGGATACAGCGACGTCTTTAAATTCGTGTACAGGCGGATACAATTCTCAGTGGTTACACATGTCCGGGCAGAATTTCAAGGAATGTATGCATTCCTGCTTCCATTTTCGGTGCAAGTGTGGGTAACTTTATTTATTTTTTGTATCCTCGTTACCGTCCTGGTCCAACTTAGTAAGGGCAAAATAGTCACGGTCGCTGTTCTGGACGATTTGATTATCATCATTTCTGTCCTGCTGGGGCAGACGAATGGGAACAGTTTAAAACTATTTTGCAACAGAAACACGATCGCAGCGCCTATTCTCACGGTTTGGTTGTTAGCGGGGTACTACATAATTACGAATAACTTGTACACGGGGGAGATCTTTTCCTATTTGACCGCCACCAAAGGACCCGCCGTGCCAACTTCTCTAGCACAACTTGTCGACTCTAACTTACCAATCCTTACACGGAGCAGCATTACAACAAAGTCGAGTGGAAATCACCAGATATCAACGCTAATAATGAGTATTATACCATCATTTATGCAAAAGTTCGAAAATAATAGCAAGCTCTTCGCGGTGTGTTCCAAATTAAAGAACAAATTACAATTTATGGATATTGGCACCACATTTCGGGACATCCTAAGATTGCTAACCTACATTATAAACTCTAAACCTGCGACGTATTCAAACACAACTTTTCCCACGGAACGCACTTTTGCTGTCATGGATGACATGGTGAATATAAAGTTTTTGACGGAATTGATCAAAATTTATGGGGGCCGCCTCGTCATTGACGGAAAGGAGGATAATACCCCATTCAATTTTATTACGATTGACACCGGGTACAGCAATTTCCTGTCGCCAGTCTTCCAAAAAACGCTTTCCCACTTGGAAGCAATGGGCTTGGCGGAGAGGTGGGCAAACTTGGAAGATAGCAAAACAATTGCGATGCAACTGTATCACTCGAAAAATGCAAGATACCGGTGGTATTTTTCGAGAAATGATTTCCACGAAAGGAATAAAATCCAAATTCGGGAGGAAATTCCGATCCCGTTTGAATCAGTGAAAGCTGTTTTCATTTTGTGTTTTATAATCTTACTGACTGCATTGATAAAATTTATTGCAGAAATTAGATATAGTTTAGGAAACGGTACTGCAAAATGTTATCGTGAAATTTTGAATCGGGTTATCGGATAATCTGAATCCGAACCCGATAACGTTCGGAAACAGAAAACCCTATCCGAATCCGAACCCGATAAAAATCCGAACCCCGATAAAAACCCGAAACCCGATAAAAACCCGAAACCCGATAAAAACCTGAAACCCAATAAAAACCCGAAACCCAATAAAAACCCGAAACCCGATAAAAACCCGAAACCCGATAAAAACCCGAAACCCCATAAAAACCCGAAACCCGATAACAACCCGAAACCCGATAACAACCCGAACCCGTTGGGAAACTCTAGTGACTGATAATTTTAATTTATTTATTCACTTATTTATTGCCTTATTTAGTTTTTGCCCATGTGGGGTTTAAATAACAAACAGAAATTGTTTATTTTAGTGTTGCTTATGTTATTTTTTGTGGTGTGATAAACATGCGTGTCCTACTGTGCTGTGTTGAAATAATATAATTTTAGAACTCAACCTGTCAGCCTTTTTTAAAAGTTGTGTCCTACTCAACACGGCGAATTTTATGAAATTTACATTTAAGCAAATATTTACATATATTTGACCATTGCTGAACTCAAATGAATGTTTGGGCAAAGGTAAAGTTTTGAGTTGTGATTGATTATCCTTAATTTGGCACAACGATGGATTGGAAGTTTACATTGTGTGGTATTGAGAAAAACTCAAGAACTTTGTGTCCGCCTTTTATGACACGTACCGTTAGGTTTAGGCCGAGACACCTGAAAGACGAGCTAGTGGAAGACTAAAAATATGTGAAAGGTTGGTTATCAAGTTAGTCCTTTTACATAAATTCTGAGGCTTCCAAATTCATGGAAATTCAGTCGAAATTTCGAATTGAACCTCATTAGAAAGAAAGATCGTATTTCTTGTGAATTAGTCTATTGTTTTCATGCATTAAAAAATGAGTCCATATTCATTAGAGGTCAATCAATATATGTACATAATGTTTTTCCATTGGTTCATCCCTTTGTTGCATGGGTTGCAATGGTAATTTATTTTTAGATTCCGCAAACATACATATCATTTAATATGCAAATTAAATCATCTTATTTTCGTTCCTCCAAAATTCGGAGTCAATTCATTTTCCGGAATGAGCGAAAGCAATTCCTTCCTCCATTCGTCCTTATTTGTGCCAAAAATATGAAACGTGTCCTGCATGGCTTTGCTCATGACGTGTTTAAAAAGATTGAAAACGGTTTGGAAGACGTCCAGTGCTACGAAATAAAAAGGGTTAATTAATTTGAATTACTTAATTTGTAAGTAACTCAACAAATAAAGGATTGATAAGATTATGCAAAACGTGGTAGTCACATACAGATACATATGTATTTACATATGTACCCCATACGATATTAAATATTACAAATTATTACCAGGGGCGGTATAGACTCATACATACACATGTATTCCGGCCAGTAATATTTTCATACCAGTTTTTTTCACTCAAAAGAGTATAAATATTTAGTTACCATTAATTGAGATAAGCTTATGCATCCCGTTTGGATAATTGGTTTGAAATGTGGTAGTAAATCGTACCAGGAGAGAAATACCTGCCAGATAAGGGTAAAAATAGAGAAGGATACAGATGATACTTTTGAAATTTGTTCTTTTCCAGCAAATTGCTTACATACATTGCACGCATCCATGCTGAGCAAGATTAAAGTTATCCATATTCCAAATTGTGATCCATTGCGTCACATTCTTTCCCATTTCCTGCGATTTCCAAACCCGGGTGGACGCATCTTCCGCTGTTTTGATCATGTATCTCAGCAGTGTTTCACCCTCACCCGATATGATTGCTTGGCGAATATCCCACTCAGAAATGTCACCAGTGCAAACTGTAATACATTGTGCGAATTATTTATTTTAAAAATAATTAGACATTTTAGTAAAAAGATTATGGCTTATGGACAGTTTTGAGACTAGGCAATATGTACGTGCATGACATTAACCAACTTTGGACAGATTTTCGTTAAAAAGCAAATGTGCAAAAAAACTATCAAAAATTATAATCTTTAACACAAAAAAAGCAACATGCTATTTAAAGTATTGCAAAAATTTTTGCCGAAGTGTATTGTATATACATATGCACACCTGGTCTTCCCGTATAGTCCGTGGCACTACAATCGAAATAATATTCGCGTTCCCAGAAGGTCCAATCTTCCCGCAGGATGGAATCTATCCTGTTTATCTTTCTCCACTTAAGGTTCTGAAACAGACATGCATCACACATTAACGTATATTAACGTTGATTTCGCTAGTTTTTAGTGTATATTCAATAAAAATACTATAAATTACACTACAATTTCGTATTACATGTTTAAAGGCGGTCTCAGCTTCCTCCACGTTCAATTTGTTAACTAGATCAGAGCCAAAAAAATAATACGCATTTATGTGTATTTACGGTTTGAGAAACAAGTTGAGAATCACTGTGAAGCTCCATCCAGCTAGTGATTTGGTGCCCCACATTAAAAAACTGGGGTGAATAATATGTACTAGCCCCTTATTTGTTTTTCTAGGTCAGAGGGTCGTCGAATGGAGCAGGTAGCTTGAAATTCTGGCGTGACCACCATACTCTAAAAAATAATGTTACCACTTTGAAAACTAAATGCACCCAAAATTCCGAAGAAGTAAACTGCATAAACTAAATATCTATAGCATAAGCTTTACTCTTTAACGTTCTCCTGGCTTTAGTAGAGTTTACTTAATTCGGAATTTAGAGTGCATATACTTTCCGTAAAGGCAACACTATTTTTAAGAGTTCACCACGAACATGGATTCACTGAATCTCCCTTTAGTAAATATTTCAATTAATCTAAATTCCAAACCTCGCAACCACCGGAGAAGGGCAAGGTCGGTTTTAAGCCAAGTGTGCGCCCGGATATTACCAACTCTCATTTTCAACTGGAAATCAAAGAGAGTAATTAATATTAATTTTGTAAACTTGGTAATAGATAATATTTCTGCATGCCATATCCAGCTTTCCATTCTCTTCTCTCGTTAGCCGTAGTTCGTCTTCAAGTTCAACCAAGGAAACAAACTGTAATCGGTGAGAGATAAGGAGTACAATAATCGACACTAATTTTAAATTGGTTTCGGACGGGCGCATGATATATTTCAAAATTTTAAAAATTTCCAAATTTCCAGTAAATTTACTATGTATGTAATAAATACTTGGAACAAGGAGGTAAACTTTACACTGTCGATGTTCACACCAGTTACCATCAAAGACTGGAAAGTGGAAAATAGGAAATAACTAAATTATGTATGTAATTTAATGAAGAAAATTATTTTGCCTTACTTTTTTATTACTAATGCGTATTACTGGATTGGTTCAGAACCATGTTCACACCAAGTAATCCAAGTAATCGTGGGAACCTTCACTTCTTTGTTTGACAATAAATTATTATGATATCATCGTGGGAAGGGAATGGCCTTATCAAGTTGCGCAGAGCAACTCAGGATATATATAAACACATAAGAACATCTACAAATTTATGTAACAATACATAGTTGATAAATGCGAGGTTGTTATCTATCTTTAGTATTATTTTTAATATGGGTAGACGGGAATGACAATCGTGCGAGGGCCGGTAGAGTAATACATGTGCATATATTTATACTCCGGTCGGTAATAATTTTCATGATACATACGATTTCTCTAAGAGTGCCTACATACTTTTAGAAAGATCGATGTTAAATCTCTCGAATATTTTCCAGTGTTTCATAGGTTTATGTGTATGTACGAATTTATGTACCTATGTACGTAGATTACATTTGCATACTGGCAATCCATCCCTTTTCTCCTTTTTTTGAATGCGCATGCAATCATGCACATGTTTGCGTATTCAGATATTTAAATAATGGTTTGAATGAGTTACACGAAGCCACAGTTTAAACTATGGGGACATCCATAACTTATGTCACGCAAAAATCTCGATTTTCTAGACCCCCGCCAGCCCCTTCTCCTCTTTAGCTTGTGTCACATAGGCACAATATCATTGGACCCTTGGATCCCCTTTTCCCCCTCTCGCGTCACATAATTTATGGACTGTAACAGAACCTGCAGTGATTTTGCTTGTGTATGTAAGTATGTAATAACAAAGGCTATAGTAAGGTTAATATGATTAGTTCCACTAGAAGAAAGGGACACGGAACTTGCTCCAAGGGTGCAAAAGGGTTGAAATATTGCTCACGATATTGAAGAAAAGAGTATTTATTTTTGGATACCCTTACCTGTTCCTTCATCAAGTCTCCCTTAAAATTTTCTAGGATACGATGCAATCTTACTGATTATTTACAGAAATATAATATTTACGTATGTATTTAGATAAATACATATTTAAATTTTAAAAACACTACATTTTTAAAATTTGATTTAAAATGCTCACAGTCAGAAGCATTCCTCTAATCTGTATCGTTCTATTCCGTGTCAAAGTTGTGTTTGGATCAGTGCAGAATAGTGAAAGGGTGGATTCTATTCCGACAAAAATTAGTTGTCAAGAAGAAGATAACTCACTTATTGCGAAGGTTAAGACGTACCTAGAGCGGAGCGATGTTGGAGAAGCTTTCTACATTTTTTATCCCTATCTGTGGACAAACCCGGAAACTTTGTTACACAATTTGGCCAGTATTCCATGCCTGGCTAAATCAGAGGAAGCCAAGCTCTTAGAAATTTATTGCAATAATCGAGCCCTTGTTCGTGTTCAGTATGACGCATTTCCTCCAAATTTGGGAATACCGGTATATCAATTTCGTAATACTTTATGTTATAGATAAGTTATAAAAGTTTATATTTTTAGAATGAATAATTTCTTACTTTTTTTATTACCATTTTTTAGGCGAAATTCCAAAGGTGCGGAAGTTTATGGGAATTAGCGACACTCTAGTGTTACAGGAAGCCTTACACTTCTGCGAGATGTAAGTTGCAGAAATTAGGAATGTCCCGGGTACCGGGTAGATACCCGGAATTTGTACTCAATTCTTTTGGGCTACCCGGTATCAAGTCGGGCATTTATGTAAAAGTGCCCGGTATACCCGGCTTAATTGATTTTTTTTGGCACAATAAATAGGCTTACCTCATCTTCGGAAGTGGCGAAATTTGAAAATCATCAGGTTTCTTCTTCTACCGATGATATAATAGATTTCGTTAAAGCGAACGTCCTACTTGGGAACCTGTTTAGTAAGCATTGGGATAGAAATAATACTCAAATTAGGATGGAATCAAAATCTTGGAGGATACGGGAGACACTTGCAAAGAAAAGAGCACGTAAGGAAAAGAAAAATTCACAATTTTGATATATGTATTTCAACCTCTACATAAAAAAGTAGTTGATATAAATGGAATATTGCATGCCTAATTTGTTAATTAGATAATTGGTTATCCAAGCTATATTTAGCATTTTTAAAGACTTTCTAACATATTGATCCGCTATGGCATCGATTGTTGATGAAATAATGGAAATAACAAAAACCGCAACTTGTATTCATAATTAAATGACCTTGACAAATGACAAAAATGCGATTGATTTATGATTAGATAGATTAACATAATAGCTCGATTTTAATAATCCTTTCTTTGTAGAGGACCAAGAAGTTTCGGCAGCCTTGCTAAAAATAAATACTGGTACATATATTTCTTCTTTAATATACATATGTACATACTATAAATCTTCAAAAATCGTGGATGGTGGTATACATCTATATAATTATTTAAGCATAAGTTATTCATTTATGTAAAAACATTGCTATTATTTTTTGCAGACATGTCTATAATTAATTCTCAATTGGAGATAATTGAAAGTGGTGCGTGCGTACGGAGTAATTTATTTAAATACATAAAAATGGTGGTATCTGTATAAAACGTATACGTCCTGTATTTAATTACAGACATTTCTTCAATTAAGTCTCGCCTGGATAAACTTGAAGGTGGTACGTGCGTACATATGAATGCCAATTTTTATAAATATGATATAATGCTAATCCGTGGTGCATAAATAGATTTAATATAATTATTTATTTACAGATGTTTCTGCCATAAAAAGTAGGCCTACTGGTGCAAAAAATCCGCCGACAACCAATGAAGGCACATGATTAAAACTTCCAATACCATAATGACAATTGTGCTACATACTTGGATTAAATTAATACAAAATTTACAAATTATTCCAGGACTAGGATCGAAAATGGTGTCCGAACCAACCAAAACTAATTTTGATCGTGAAAATAACGATAAAACGAGCTTGACAAGCACGCATTCATACCCTCAACATCCTCTACATTTTCCAGATCAGTGGTTAGGGATGAAGATTTCGCCCAGGTCAACCACGCCAGCTACGCAGCACGAGGAAATTTAAACATACGTACATTTAATTCTTTGTTACATATATATCACCGTTATAAATACATATTTGGATTATTTGAAATGGCGTCAGAGGACAATTCGTATCTGTTCACTTTCGTTCATTTGACAGTGAATGCAAATTATATTCTTGTCATTTAAAGCAAAATGACAGGAAGAATTGCGTTGTTTTAGATGGCCTACTATGAATGAGGTTATGTATATTGATTTTGGTTTACATAATGAGCCTATTTTCACTAAAGTGTTGCTACAATGTGGAGTAGTTAGTTATATGTGGCAAATGCATTTACGTTTCAACAAGTACATTTTATGAAAATCAGAAACATTAAGCTATTCTACTATTTGCATACTAAATCTGTCGAGAGATTTGTAAATATGTATGTGAATACTTCTATATACACCCGGTAGACAAAAGTATTGGTTATTTTTTAAGTCACATCTTCATATGCATGTAAAACCTTAATATGTTACTGACGTTGGTCAAATTTTTTCTGGCTGTCACATAACTTAATTACGTTCAAAATAGGGTATCTGCAGATTTTAACATTCAAGTATTTTTGCCACAATAAATTACAAACCATTGGAATACGTGTTATGGAGTCGGTCATAAGTATTGGTCATTTCAATTTTCCCTGTTATAACTTGACAATAAACTTCCATATCTGACATGTAAACTAATTTTTTGATTCAATACTTCTTTGCTGTTAGATTTGAATCATTTGCTGAAAAAAAATTACGAAACTGCTGGAATTGGATATTGTCAAATGTGAAAAGAAACGAGGTATCTGCACAGAGCTTGAAAGTGCTCACGGATTTTTACAAAAACTTCCATCTGAAAATAAAATGCTGTAAATGTGACCGAAATATGACCACAAACAGGTTTGGTGGCTAATAAACCATAGCGTGAACATATGAACGTAACAAAACCACGATAGAATACGAAGATTGTGAATTTGTCTATAGTTGGTCATGAAATCACCGCACTGAAACGGTTCAAAAACGCAAATACTGAGAAAAACAGTAGTTTACCTCGAAGCAAATCGTTCGAAGATTGCATGATGCTAATTTGAAGTTAAGACGAATGCTAAAAAATAAATTAAGTACCAGGAAGGAAAACATCAAGAATTTGAGATGTTCGAATTAAAACCGTACCTGGATAATTATGTGCTACTTTAAGGTACGTTACCTAAATGAAACTAAATTTCGCATTTTCAGGTTAAATGAGTCCAGGCTGACTTGGTGGCGACCAAGAAATTAAGCAAAAGATTAATTCCTCCATCACACAGTGAAATATCAAAAAGACGATGAATTTTCTAAGCTTGTTTTTGGTTATCATTACTAATACCCATACCTAACTTTTGATGTTCCGATATGATTTTAAGTTTAATGGCCTAAATTTGTGTAGATGCTCCAGCCCAACTTACCGAGAGCAAAAAACTCGAAGCGGACATCCATTTTCGTACAAAAACTTTAAACCAATCAGCGCAAGATAGTCACTTTTGAACTTATTTACGTTTCTGCGAAATGATTACCCAAGCATATCGCCCAGATGGCATAGGAATGCGTTCAAACCTTCAGACCTATATGTTGCGGAACATTTAATATGGTCCCCTTGCAGATTGGAAAATTAGCGAGCCTTTAGAACAAAATTCTTCGACAAAAACTCGCTACTGTACATAACGATAGTGAGGGCGAATTTTTCGAGCACAAATGACAGTTAACATAAGTCGATTTAATTTGTAATATCGGAAATGCTTGGCCATTAAATATAACAGAAGTAACTGCTGCCAGAGATTTCCATTTTCAATATTAATTATGAATTTTGAGAGTGACCAATACTTATGACCGACTCCATCACATGTATTTTAATGGTTTGTAATTTATTGTGGCAAAAATACTTGAATGTTAAAATCCGCAAATACCCTATTTTGAAGGTAATGAAGTTATGTGACAGCGAGAAAAAATTTGACCAATGTCAGTAACATATGAAGGTTTTACATGCATATGAAGATGCGACATAAAAAATAACCAATACTTTTGTCTACCGGGTGTACATGCGTATGAACTGAGCCACGGCGTGTACATAAATACATATGTCTAACGGTTTGTCAAGTTATGAAATTTTAATAAAGTATTTCATATCTGAATCAGTGTTGATGCTGATAAACTATTATTTTTTATTGATGATAAACTAATTTTTCAAGCCGTGTCACCTTAACAATTAGGATCATTTAAGTATGTCCCAATTTGTGTCATGATTGTTTGCTGTGCAGCAGTCATTGCGGCATTCGTTGGATTCGAAGTATCTGAACAATGCGCAGTTCCTAAAATTATGTTTAAACGAACATAAGGCAAGTTAGTGTCTAACTAAATATTTTTGAAATTACTCACCTGGAACAAGTACAACAGTGTTATACGCTTTTGGTGTGGTAACTCCTTGAGTATGCCACGGGTCCCAAGTTCCATGGACGAAAATAACGCACTTGGAGTTAAAATTTTTACCACCATAATACGCATTGGATTTAGCAATTTGACCTTCAACATATTTTAGTGTATACCTGAAATGATATGAAATGATAGATATTTTGATAATTTGGTCGTGCGTACAAGGGCTATTACAGATATGTAAAGACTCACTTTGTCCCAAACTTCTTGCATCCTGCACCGTACACGTCTCCAGAGAACGTATTCCTGCCAAAGGTTCCTAATTCTGGGTCTGAAGACAAAGAAACCGAATTCATTGCAAGTTTGCCACGCCCAACCTAGCCTTGCCACCAGGCCAATTACTTGCCCATGGAGGAAATGTCTGATGATTATAAAATTGTTGCTTGCTATAACTGTTTCCAGCCCAATCTACGCTTCTACAATATCTACAAATACGGCGATATTATTGATCTAATTAATTCCCTGTAGAATTCATTGAAGGAGTACGCACTGGATGGGTTTCTGCATCTGTTGGCCTGATGTGTATTTTTCACAATTTGGCTTACTTCCATTGGTTAAGCTCTCCATACAGCTGAAAGTTTGGCTCAGGTAATCGAAGAATCCTCGATCTGTTTCTCGGATGACTTCAGAAACCACCGAGTGTACCCTAAGGTTTAACGGGACAAATTAGTACAAATGATGACCAATCGATTACTTTAAATCACCAAGATAGTCGTAAACCGCTTCAACTGGTCCGGAAGACGACACAGCAGCCTTCACGTGGTTGGGGTATTTAAGTTTCATCCAAGCGGCTAAATTTGCCCTGTACGAACAACCAAATGAAACCCAATCAGCATCCTATAAGTATAAGTATGAAGATTGTACACATTTTAATCATCCAAACTATCCTTCCGTAATTTACCTGTAGCTGGTTCTGAGCCGAATAAACGTCAATGAAATAAGCAGCATCTGCTAGTGCCAGCTGACTAGTCATTAAACAAAGATCGCTCACATTCGGATTGCTGTTGATTTATATAAAAAGTTATCAAGTATCTAACATATCTAATACTTCCAGTTGTACGTACTTAACGGGGGAACTTTGTCCGTAGAATCTATGCTCTAACACAACCAGCATTGCGTTATATCTGTTGGCATAGTTATACCAGTAGCCACCATTAATATCGTGCTCCGCATCCCATTCCCCTGCAATTTCTAAAAATATGGGACCTCCGGGCTTATAGTATTGCATGTTGACCCAGTATCGCTAAAGAATTACAGTGTGATTAATATTTGCGTGCTGTTCTTGACCAACCCTACCTTACCTGAGACCACTTTTTATCACAGCCAGTAGAATTGTCGTGATACTTGCACTGCTCAAAGGCAGATTGTGCTGAGGCGACATTTTGCGATGTTTCGAAGCCTTTGTTGGTTGTACCGTCCTTATTGTACCAGTGGCCTTGGACGAAGATCTGCTCTTTCATCATGGGAGAGCGGAACGAAGCCCTCCCGGACCGCTATATTTTAGAAATGGTTGAATAGTTAGTTGGTTTTAATATAAACTTGAATGTAGTTTTACCGCGGCGTACAGCTCTCACTACTGGTGACTGGTGGTTGCGTGGTCGCAGCTAGTGTGTGGTCGTCGTGAAATCTGTAGGTTCCTCAGTGGTTGGGAAACTTGTCGTTGACTTTTCAGAGGTAGGAAAGCTTGTTGTTGAAGTTGGGAAGGTTGTTGTAGATCTTTCAGACGTTGGGAAGCTTGTAGTAGTTCTCTGCGTAGTAGTAGAACTGACTCTGGTTGTAGTTGGTGGCCTCCAAGTCCTCACAGTCGTGCTGGATGACGCTTGTCTAGTCGAGGTTGTGTTATCTAAAAACATAAAGCTTCCGATTGAGAAAGAACACGTAAACGCGCAAAGCTACTTACCATCATCCGAAATCTCTTGATATTCTACGCACTGCTTTCTGAAAATTAGAATCATGGTTTGCGTGCAGTTACAGTATGTGATCAAGTCCCCCTTCTTTTCAGGCTCTAATTGCTTTCCAACATTGAAGATGTTGCATTTGGCTAGATCGACTTTAGCTGGATTTCAATTAGAAAAATTAATCAATTAAATTCGTATAACAATATGAGGATAAGTTAAGAGCATTACCGTAGCGACGCTTTTCGATCAGACCAGCTTGGATAACAATACTCGTCGCAAGGACGACTATCGCCACAAATAAGAAATTGGTAGAACGATTATTTCCTCCCGTTTTTGCAAGTTAGAATAAAACTTGACAAGTGGGGACCAAAGTCTTAGCTTAAATAGAAATGGAAATCAATTTAAACTGTCAATTTTACTAAAAACACCTGCTGCTTCTGCATAAATTATTACAGTTATCCTTGAGCTGTGTTATCCAATCTTAACATTTTACACAATTAATTAATTTTTTTTGCAAGCATTTTGCAATTAATTCTGACATTACTTCGTCTCCAGTCATTACCAAAGTCTGGAAGGGTAAAACAACTGCATCCGCAAAAAACCTGACTTTGGAACAAACATCTAATTAATTAAGGGTGTCTCGAGAGGTGACCGCATTATGACATCGATAAAAGTGGTTATTGTGATGTTTTGTAAAAATGCATTACTCTATTACACCAATTTATTATATGCACCTACGTAATAATTCATGTTTTCAGTAGTGTTTTTCAACTGACAGCAAAATCTTCTCTAAATTTAGAATTTACAGCGCTTTGGATGGGGGTGGATTTGGGTGGGGGTGGAATTATAAATGCCATTTATATTTTACCCTTGAATATAGTCATCCCTACCTTTCATACAAAAAGTAGCTTATCGTCGAGACAAGGGTGTATTTATTAATTTACTTATAAATTCTATACAAAAAAATTTTACACGACAATTTTTTGAGTTTTTTATAAAATTAGTGTGCATAAAAAGTTGTGAACGTCAGGTATCGTTGGCCTATAATACCGTGGCAGTTGTCATGGTGATATTGGGTGGGAACAAGAACCCCGAGGCCCGGCGTCTCGATAAAATATGAAATAAAATTTTGTTGTGCTCCGTAATAAATGAATAAATTCTAAAACTAATTTTTAAAGCTAAATTAATGTTAGCATCTGGTATAATTACACAGTAAATACGCAGGTAACCATCGTACCCATAAAATTTTGAGTTTACATAAAAATATGTACACATATCTTATAGACTAATAGAATTTATTTTACGCATAGCGGGATCTACTTTCGAACTATGTACAGCTAATTCTTTAAAGATTCGAAAACAGGAACTTGTCTCACAATTAGAGAACCAACACGCTTACGAAATCCCTAACGCTAACTCAGATACCATTACCCCAATGCAAATGGCTATACCACCGCCCCAAACATAGAATCCCGGCAAGATCTTCGAGTTAAAAATCCAGTTTAGCCACCCGTTCAACCCTTGGCGACTTCCACCCCTTAAAATGATGAAACAACCTCTTCGGTCGGACAAGCTTAAACCAATCAACCCAATGCTTATATATTCCCGACGACTGCATTACGATAAGCTTATTAAGGACATAGTTTTCCCTAACTTTTACACCAAACCAGCTCCAAGTTTTCGGAAAAAATCCGTCCTCCGTCTTCAAAAATACGACACGGTTTTTATTATCGTTCATAAATGGCAAGATTGTATCAATGTTCTCGTCACTATCGAGATATCCCAGTTTAACACATTTCGACATATTACCCACGAAAGTATCAAGGTCCTCGTACAAAACGGGCGTAACTCGGATCACACTTTTATCCATGTCGGGGTATCGAATTGTCGGGATGCTTTGCATGAGAGCTAGGGCCAACTTCTTGTAGGCATTGAGACGAATCGAGTCTCCATAATAGCTCGATAATATGGTCAATTTGGTTTCCAAGGGTTGATAGAATGTGGTAACGTACCACGTTTTTGTGGTCCTATTATTCGCAAAAGCACTAAGAGGTCCTTCAAAAACGGGTAGAATGAAGTTAAAATCGGCCACGTCTGAGATACTATTCCATGGTGCGGAGTACCTCGTGGGTAGTATCATGTCCATGGTAAAGGCCGTCTTGTACCAGTTGGTTAATACAGTTCCCGCAATAAGTAACCAAATCAGGATAACCATTGTAAAACTAGTGGAATATCGTTTCTTTAGTCTCGATCCTTCGATAACTGTTGGAATTTCGATGCAAACTCGACCCGTGAAAATTATAGATGACACGTGATCCTTCACTGAAATCAAGCACAACAAAGCAGAAATAACAGTGAAGCTTGTCATGAACAAAATCCATCCAAGAAGATCGAATGGATTTAACAAAACTTTTAACGTATCGTGCCCTGGTCGAACTTGGTGACAAGATATTAATCGCGACGTTTTTATGGATTCAAAGGTAAAGGTCATTCCCATTGTGGGCCGGATAAGGGAGGCTTCGCTGAGTAAAGGAAACGTTCTCTTGATAGGGGGACCGCCAGAAATATTTGTACACCCTGTATTTAATAACCAGCCGGCCAGAAATTCTTCGAACGTGGCTAAATTAGTGATTCTATGGAGGTTCATCTCGTCACAAAATATCCTTAAGACTTGTACCAAACGATTTGAATTTTCTGGGAAAACTTCGGCACCCCAAAAGTACCGTTGCACGTGGGAAATCGCGTTTCGGGCAAGTTCAAAATTTTGGGAACATTCTTGATGAGTAAAACATGTTATGAGGTACCATTGCACCCCAAATTTTTCTAATCCCGGGACATGATAAGGGTTGAAGTAGAAAAAGTGTGCGTGGTTGTGCACTATTTCATGATTTCTTCACTCTAAGAAATTGGGTGATAGGCGCTATCACCGCGCGAGTGGAAATAGCAAGCGTCACCGTAATGGTGATAAACCTATCACCGATATTTGTCACCATTGGTGGTGACCGCCACTACCACCCACCATGGTGGTAGCTTCGCAATGCACGTGACTTACAGAGTGGCGAGTTTGTCCTACTTCACGCACCAGCCGACAAGCAGCGGAGTTGTAATGTAAAATTACTTTGTGTTTCAAAGTTGAAGAGGAAAAAAAATTAATACCGTGCGCAAATAATTATGGCGAATTTATTGACAGGTAAAAAATTGAAAAGTTAAAATTTAGCTAAGTTTGGCCAAGGTTTAATTTTTAGTTGAAGAAAACTTTGGACGTGGATGCCGAGATTCGCCTAGATGACAAAGAAGGAGCAGAGATTGACGAGGTAATGTTTCCATTAAATTTAGTTAGTTATTTTTTGCAGCTACTCATAGGTAATTAATATATTTTTATCTAATTGGTCCGCCAACTGTAATCGATGCGAGTCAATAACTGACGAATGTGGTCACCGGTTGTACGGCAAAAAAGTTGCTGATAGTACAACGTCATCTGTACAAATAAAAAAATTGTGCCAAAGTTCCAACTAACAGGTAAAGTAATAAGCTATGATTTCTGGACCAATCTAAATCAACATTAATTAATTTCAAACTCTAATTAATTTCAGTCAGTGTCCTACATGTCGTGACTGGAAACTCTTCGCAACTTCAATTGCTGGTGCAATTCCACAAATGGGGAGGAACAGGTTTTACATACACATATATAAAATATGAATTATCTGTTAAAGTATTTGAATAAAGCAATAAATTGTGAAAAATGTGACATTTTTGTGTGAAGAAGCGAAATTATTTTGATTTATCGATCACCAGACAGTGACATGGCGAACTAAATATGGTGGTGGTATATCACCGAACGGTGATAGAAAATATTGATCGTTCCACCACCATCCGGTAGAGGTCTATCACCACGATGGTGATGGAACTTTTTATCACCGCATGGTGGTAGGTTACCACCATTGCGGTAGAGTCACATATAGTCACCGCTCGGTGACAGTCCGGTAGTAAAATTTCTTAGAGTGCTGTTACGAACACTGAAATTGTAATGAATTCGCGGAGCCCGTTCCAAGCTAATCCACCGTTTGGCATCCTTCCAAAATAATTTTGCAACTCGTTTTGTAAGCTCGTCAAAAAAATGAAGTGCTGATTTAGCCAGGATTCATGAATAAAGTAGCGTTTCCTTTTGAAATAGTTTAGTAACTTGGACTCATCGACCGGTAGGATACTAACGTTCGGAAATGTGATGTCATACTCTGGAAGAAGAATAAAATATGCCCAACAGTGCTGGGCTGGAATCAGTCTAGTGATTAACAAAAATGCGAGCGGGACTAGGGCATCCAAAACCGGTTTTTCCGATTTTGTAAAACCGGTTAAAAACCGGTTTTCGATTTCCCCGAAAACCGGTTTTATAATTTTCTGAAAAAACGATTTTGTTAAAAACCGGTTTCATCACACTCAAAAACCGGTTTTTGATTTTTGATAAAAATTGTTTTAGAACTACAAAATATTAGTGATTTCTCGTTTTTCATGCAAAAAATCAATTGTTCTGAAATATTTGTCTCTAAATGAATGCCAAAAGTTTGTTCAACTTTAAATTTTACCACATATATTTAACACATTTTTAAAATTTTGTAGAAAACCGGTTTGAAAACCGGTTTAAAACCGGTTTTGGAGAAAATCGAGAACCGGTTTTACAAAAATTTAAAAAACTGGAAAAATCGAAAACCGGTTCTACGAAAGTTTTCCAAAATCGGAAAAATCGAAAACCGGTTTTTGAAAATTTTCCGATTCTGGATGCCCTAATGCGGGACTTGATACTGCAGGGCGAAATCGGAATATCTCGGTGAATTGATAATTATGACGGGAGTACCGTCATAATTAAATAGATTAAACTTAATTTGTTTCGTACCATTGGTTTCTGGTAGCACGAAGAATGTGGTGCAATCCGAAAAAGGCGTAAATGTGTGGCTACCCACGGTTGGCTGGATAAGGTGTAGATAACCCAAAGATATCACAATGGTGGCTATACAAAAATAAAAATTTCCCTGTACCATTCCTATTTCTTTCTTGAAAAGATTCTATGGAAAATGTATATTTAAGATACCTTCATATGCGAAATAATCGCTTCAAATTGAAGCGAAGCAGGTTGCCCTCGCTGTGTAAAGATGTTTGGGTCGACCAACTACAAAATATTGTATGAAATAAAAATTGGAGGACCTGTCAAATGTTTCATGTAAAAGTTTCCTCATTTTCAACATTCCACTCGAATTACTCGACTTGTCATAATTTGTGCTTTGACAGTTGTGAAACTACTATTTTTTCAACATGTATTGGCCCATCTCATTGGGGCCGTTCATAACTTATGTCACGCATGAGGGGTAAGGGGGAGGGGGTCGAAGGTTCCAATGATAACGCGCTTATTTATGTGACGGATGCTAAAGGGGGGAGGGGAGTCTAGAAATTCATGATTTTTTGGATGACATAATTTATGGATGTCCCCAAGACCATTACGATACATCGACAGGAAATAAACGCTCTTTATACCAAGGGTTACATGGATTTTTCTGGACTGGATTGATGTATGGATATTAATTTTCAGGGAAGACAACGAAAATACATATAAAAATGTTATGAAACGGATTATACAGTATAAGTATGTCGAATAGTGTATATATGTAAAATTCAAATTATTCTCATCATGATTAATTTAAAGATATACAACAAACACGTATCAGGGTGTAACGTTCTTGTTCAAAGTGTAATATTTATTGAAATAATTAAAAATGTAATAATTAAAAAACAATAACTTTAAGTTACACAGTTGTACTTCGGTAATTTAAAGAGATCAGCAAATTTGTGAAATAATTAGTTTTTTGTACTTTCTTAAAGGTTTGAGATTCTGTGGGTAAAATCTATTTGTGTAATAAACATTAAAAGAGAGGTCGGTAGAATTTTATGTTTTTGCAAATCATTAATTTTTTGCACTTAAAGCGTTAAGATTCAAAATATAATTCACATAATATTTATGGAAATAGGTGTAAATCATGGAAAATTAGATCGGTAGAATTTTACTGTAATTAGTCATCCATGTCTTGCTTGTAGTGTCGATATTCCGGCTTCAATTCCCACATGTTCCGATGCGGGTTTTTCACACAATAGTTGCAAACCTCTTTCAACACTTCTTTCAGAAATCCCTGAAAAACAAGTAATCAAATCTATTTTGACATCTTTCCATCCTTTCATGTTGAAGTTTAAAATGAGTTTTTAAACGGTTTTGAGGACTTGATTTCTAAAAACTATACAGTTTTATTTATACTCGACCAAGCTTTCTACAACGAATGTTGTCTTCATCAGTAATCAAATACTTTTTAATTAGTGTATTTAATTGGTATTTAATTAGTATTCATAAAGTGTCAATATTTCCGAGGCATACATATGTTTATAAATCTAGATATGTACATATGTACACTATCCAATATTAATCCATGTATTAAAATAATACCAAGCCGTATTGATGCATGACTCATCCATGACGGTATCGATAAAAATTACGGTGTAGTAATATTTAGCCCAATATTAAAGTTTTGCCGTATCGGTAGCAAATTTTTACGGGTATCATTCATTTTAATACCTATCTGTAGCAACTTTAATACCCAGCAATCTATACTTTCCTGACTTTACCAGATTTTTAACAGTTTATAATATTTTTTATCTTAGCAATTTTAACATTTCAACTGCGTTAATGCAAATAAAGATTCGCAGATGCCAATATTTTAAACTGGGTTGCAGATAAATTCACTTGCACGGACAAGCTTCTCAAACTAAAACTCTGAACATTTTAGCAGGTGGAAAGCTTTCCAAAAAAGGCGTTCAAATATAACTGTAAAAGTTTATCCGGTCAAGTTGTGAATCGAATAACTTTTGCATAACTCTAATAAATATATGAACAGAAAAATTGGCGAATTTTATCCAGAATTAAAAATTTCGCTACTCACGATGGGTTGGTTGGTTATTTTCACTAAATCCTTAACGTTGTAATACTGATGTTTTTCAAACGCTGCGAACAACATTTCCAAAACTTTGTCCTTTTCATCTCGAGCTTTCTTCCCTTCCGCTTTTTTCCTCTGTTCATATTCAATCTGTCGCAATGAAAAATAATATTTGTAAAATTTTTGCAGAATTGAAATTTGTTTGCTAGTTTTTTTAAAATTCCTTATCATGTTTGACTCACATTATTTTTGTGATCTGCGACCGGCTTATAATTGTTGACGACACGGTCCAACTGCTGCACTGACCTCGCGGGTTTTGACGCCCTCTTAATTTCCTCCATTTTCATGGCCATGTAGCTCGAATCGGCGTACGGACGACATTCCAATTTCTCGCTGACCTTGCCCAAAATGCGAACTTTGTCCGGCTCCGAGGGAAATAGATCGTCTTTTGGAGCTGACATTAAAAAAATATTATAAACTTCCGTCGATTTAAAACATTAAGGAATTTTTAAAATCCCTAATTTTTTAATCCTCCTCATCTATTCAGTCATTTTTCCAAATTAAGAAGAATGTGTGCACTGAATATTTTCGCAAATGCTTTGCAAAAATTATATGTACATATTACGTTATAGGTACAAATAAAAAATTGTATGTACATATGCAATCTTACAAAAATGAAATTAAAGGGATCTTTCCAATGGATAAATTATTTCGAAAAGCAATTAACATACTTTTTACGATCACAATTCAAAAGTTCAAAATTTTAACAATAATTTGCTAGGTTTTGCGAGAACTATGGTAAATATATGTAAATATTATGAAATAAAAAATTGTGCACGCGAATCCGTTGGTCGGTTTGTATTTGGTGTTGCCAAGTATGTATTTGCAAATTTGCAATAGTTTGCTAAATTTACGAAAAATTATGCAACTACCTTCCGTGTGATCAAATGCGATCAAAGTTTGATGAATTGGTCCAACTTGGAATGCATGCTCCTTCGGAATTTCCGACTCGCCTGGTTCCGTTAAACACATCGTGGCGTCACTGAGACTTAAGGTCAGCGTGGGGCGCGCTGTGGGGGACGACTTGCAAATTTTCACTTTCCCCGCCTCCCTAGAAACCAATTAATTTAGTTTAAAGGTGAAACCAAATACAAAATATTTAGGGCTGATGTTAAAAATTTCATTTACAAATCTCCAGGAATTCGTTCCCATCGAGCTGCCAAGTACTTTGGAACCTGTGCGAAAAAACAATTTGTCAAATGTCCAAGCATAATTCCATTCCATGTAATCATATTCACTATGACCTTTGTAACCCGGTAAACGCCGTAAATGTTTTTTGTAAAACAATCTCAGGTATTAAATCTACCCACTTAATTATGCATTATGTACATGTACATACGTCCATTTACGTATTTGCATAAATTGACTTTGAGACAAGCACTCAATCATTAGTAACTTCGTAAAATCAGTTTCTTGTAGAATAATTTTACCAAACCTTCACAAAACAGAGAGACTTCCTTGATCTGAGCAAGTTTGCAAAAATTTGTGAGCTAGTTTTCCCTACAAATGTTTGCAAAACTTTTGTAAGTTTCCGGATTTTACAATGTTACAGAGGTTTGTGCTAATTCCTTCCGGTTTGATTCCGTCACGAAGGTACAAATGAATGCAAAAAATATATAAAGTTATTATATGAATTTCCACCTTAACCAGCCAAACGGTCTTATTCACCGCGGAAAGGTCAACTTTAGCAGGTAACGGCGTACTTTTGACCGCCTTAGGCTCATCACCCCGTCCACTTTGTGGTTGACTCATGTCGTTAATTGCACCCACTTTTATTAACTTGTAAAAGTGTTTCTTTTATACAAAAAATGTATTATGAAACTTCAAAAGTGCAAAACGTCAAAAACTCTTTGTTTTTTAAATTACGTTTAACAATCGATGTGTTGGCTTATCGTAGAATTAGTCTGACGCAGTTAGTCGTGTATTTTGTTAAGTAAAGGACATATTTCTGAGCGTAGTTTTATGTATTTCCATGTAATTTATTTTATGCTGGAAACATTGGATTTATTTCTGAGATCAGAGAAACATTGTACTTTGTGTTATGTATGTACGGGATGTGGAAAAGTGCAAAAGAGAGGGCTTCCGTTTCTGAGGGACGTTACATAAAGAACGTCACCCGAAAGGGGGATATTGGCTCTTTATTTATTTTGGGGAATAAAAATGTCACCAATCTGGGATAAAATTGTGTCCTGATACATATTAAAATTGGTGTTTTATTCCCCTTCATTTCTGCACGACCCCTTCTTTATTGATCCTTTTTTGTTTATTAGGAAGGAAACGAAACCGCTCTTGAATGTCTCATTCAGCATGAAAAAAGCTGCACGGTAAAGATTTTCATGTACATAAAGAAGCCTACATCTCAAAAGCATCAAGATTCCCAAATTTTGCACGAATTTTGCAAGTACAAATATCCCATTCAAAATGGTTTATTACAAAATTACAACTTTCCATGGACAATTATCATTTACATTTGTTCCTGTAACACATTAAATATGTGTAGATAATACTTACTTAAGTATGCATTTAAATATTTACATAAACATCTGTACATATACATGTTGTACCTTTCGTGTATGTATAAATGAGATTTCATAGTTTCATTTTTAACTTCAAAATATTGCGTACATTTGTGGCCAATGAAGTATTTTTTTTATGTAAATATACATATACATACATATGTACAAATATACTAAACTCTCGTGGTTGCCAAAATTTTGGAAATAGGTATGTGTATTCATGCAAATTATAGGAATACACATAATTCCATACATACATATAAATTCTACCCAGTATAGACTAAAATCATTGTATCATTCCGTGTACATGCATATTTACTATCAAAATCCACACGCAGTAGGGACCCTCATAAAGAATGTGATCAACTGTGTTCCTTTCTCTTCCAATCGACAATAAACAAATACGTACACTGAAGTTAAAATATGTTACATATATGTATGCAAGCATCACATCCTTCATACATACGTATTTATATATTCATAAAAATATTAGCTTTACTATATTTATCCTTCATTCGTTATCACCAACGTGATTTATGTATGTACATAATCTCCTCCGCATTGCTTGAGTAATTTAATAATTTCTTTCCGTCTGTGAGGGGCCATTCACATTGCGAGTCAACGATGCCATTCCATCGCTATGCGATGTCAGTCTGTCCTTTCCATTTTCACGGGTTGTAATCTCTTACGTGACCTAAATTTCGATGACATGCGATATTTACGGCCGAGGTTACCGTATTTACTCTTTTTTTGTGTATATTCCAACGCGTACATATGTGCATACTCTTAAAAATAATGTTGCCTTTTTTGAAACACGTAAATGCGCTATGAATTTTTAATTAAGGAAACTATACTAAATCCAAAGTAACGTTGACCTGATAACGAGTAAGTTTGCCCTGGATTTAGTATGATTTACATAATTCAGAATTTAAGGTGCATTTACTTTTCTAAATGGTTACATTATTTTTAAGAGTGTACAAATGTACATGCGTAAATTGATAATCTGTGTATAAATCTGTATCTAAATTTTGAATCGTTTTTATGTGAAGTTACGCGTTCTCACGGGACAAGTTCAGCGACGGGACAGAGCAGCCTAAATTTCCGTCACGTGGGAAACTATAGTTTCTGATTTTCATAAAATTTCTGTAACTTTTTTAAATTTTGGTCCATTTTATTTTGGTCTAATCTAAACAGTCGTTTCAATTTGGATGGTTTCATCATCCGCCAGGGTCCTCACTTCCTCCGGAGTGGGGGTGTCATCCTCTGGGGGTGGTGGGAGTTGTTTGTTGATGCGGATGTAGCCGTAGACAAAGATTATGAAGGGGGCGAGGACGGTCACCTCGATGACGAAGAAGTTGAACGCAACGGAGGTCATGAGGTGGTCCGAGGTGACGAAGACGCCGAGAGCGAAGAGGATGGCCGTGACGAAGGTCAGTTTCACGATGAGGTAGACTTCCACCATCCACGTGACGCCATCGGGTGGGTCCTACATATGTATATTAAATTTGCATGAATATCGCGGCATCATAGTTTTCTGCCAGAAATTTATCGACGTGCCAAAAATTTTGCAATTTTTTAGCACATTATCTTGTGCATTGTTTGTGCACTTAAAAAATTGTGCATAGTGAATTGTCAAAGTTTAATTTACAGTAAGCTGTTAGAAATCAGGTATAGATAGGAAGGTTTTCATTTCGTAAAAGTTTGCGAAAATTTTGTAACAAATCAATATCCCAAATTGATTTTGAATTTTGATCAAAATTATTCATTGCCAAATTTTTACCTTGTTGTTAATGGCGTCAAAAATGCGGTAGGCCTGATTCGCCAAGAATATTTGGCACAACTGGAGCGGAAGTGCGACCAGGACGACGAAGAAGAACATGGCCCCCCAACCCTGCACGGGAGACGATTTAGCGTCACCCCCACTTTTGTAAGATCGGTAAACTTGGACAGAATTTGCACTCACGTGGCCACCTCCACCATTCAGGATCACGATAAACATTAGAAACGTTCCGTAAAAGAAGTAGAAGGTGTAGTAAAGCTGCAAATTTTAAAATATATACTTTCACAACTCGACATTTTTAACAAATTTGAGGTTTGTGAAATTATTTAAAAAAATTTCATTAAAAAATGGATCCAAGGAAAATTCATGTATCGAATTTTTGTAAATCGGTCACTTCAATTTGGCGTAACTTTTGATTTCAAATTTGCAAAATCGATCACAATAAATACGACAAAAATTAATCATACAAAATTAAAAATATGCAAATATGCAAAATTATCGCAATTACCGCTTGCAAAATGGACGCCGCCATTGCCCAGCCACGCCACGAGCAACATTTCCTCTTTCTCGACTCACCTTCACGACAATAATTTGCATCAACAGGTAGCATGTCACCTACTCAATTAAGCGTATAATTGGATGTTCTTTGTTTCAAAATTCGGACTAATTTTTGTACTTTTACTTCCACCCCAAAACTAAGTACACAAATCAAACTTCTTCAAACAAGTATTATTTTGCAAAAAATAATTCCCAAATCCACCACCACCACCAAATTTGTCTCCATGTCATCTGCTACTGCTACTAAATAGTGACATTGGCAAATTCGCTTGCTCTTCTTCTTCTCCTCCTGATTTTGCAAATCGGATCGATATTTGCCCACTCGTGGAGGCAAATAAGTAAGCAAATGACTGACTGGAGCAAAACAGCCACTGCTTTCACTCGGATTTCAACGAAACTTTCACCGAGAAAGGAGTAGCATACTTGGGGAAAGTCTTTTTCGCAACATGTGCCAATCAGTGGACACGTGTTGCTTGCATGCATTGATAAACATATTTATGCACAGAATATTTTACATGTAAATTTATCACGAAATTGTTTACATAATGAATAAAAACCGTTTTATTTTTCATGGTTCTTCACAACGAAATTTGTACATTGGTCGAATTAATGTTAATTATGTATGTGCGCATTATCTAATACCAGTGGAGTTTAGTTAAATTTTCGTAATGCTTAAATTTATAAAATACTACTTTTCAGCTCATCATGAAACCATTTTCACTTTAGGGATCATCCATGAATTATGTTACGCAGAAATGCTGGCTTTTCAGTCCTCAGTTGTCAGGCGGGGCTCGGCTTCCAAGCGCCAGTAAAAACGGCACAGGCAACAAATCGTCCTGTCTCGCAAATTTGTTACCATAATCTGTGGACACCCCGTGACTCTGACTATTTTATGTTGAAATTAGCCCGTCCCACTCAATAAGCTACTAATCGCCGGTAAATTAACCCAAACTAATGATGCGATTTGGTTTCCAATTTTTTCAAAATCTCGGCTAAAGCATCCTCCCAATTTTTAAGGGAGGGATTAACCTCATCTACCCTGATTTTAGATCCACCCCCCACAATCCCATACTTCTTTTTCCACTTCGTCACCCCATTTTTATACGCGAGCTGACAAACGGCCCCAATTTTCTCCTCAATGTCAAACTTTCCCCGGATAAAGACCCCCGTCTTTTCGGCCATGACGTCTAAAATCTCGTCGCCCGGGGGCACGACCCAGGTAGAAACGCGTCTCTCCAAAACCGCCCTTCTCTCCGGAAGTGAAAGTAACTTTGGAATGTGGAGCACGTTCGAAAATATGGTGAAATTCTTGTCTTTGGCGCTTATCTGGGGCACAGTCGCAATGACGAGGACCCCCTCGTACCGTACTTTCTCCATCGATTTGCTCAAATGTTCTCCAAGCGTGTCGACAACGTTATAGGGCATGTGATGCAGGAATATACGCGCTGAGTCTGTAATTTGGTCTGCAAATTGAGAATATAATTTTGTAAGTACATATTTATGTAGGGGAACGTTTATATACTGCGTCATTAAAAATACCGGTTTTTATATGTATCACCCATCCATACCTGTGCAGCTTCACTCAATTTACCTAAATTGAAGCTTCATTCACGATGAGGGAGTGAAGGAGAGTGAAGCTGAGTGAGGGAGGTAAAAACTTTGATCGAGTGAGTGAAGGTGAGTGAGGGAGGTCCAAATGAGAAATGAGTGGAATGAAGGGTGAAGGAGATGAAGGCTTCATCTCCTTCAACTCTCTCAATCCTTCTCCTCCGGGGAAGAAGGGTGAAGGAATATAAGGTAGATAATTAGTTTACATACTCAAATAAGCGTCGCAATATTAACATAGTACCGTCTCATATTACCCCATGCAATTTTCACCGTGCCCCAGTGTAATCTCACGTCGCCCCAACCCAGTCTCACGGTGCCCCAACCTTGTCTCACATTGCCCCAACCTTGTCTCACATTGCCCCAGCCCAGTCTCAAATTGCCCCAGTCGAATCTCACATTGCCCCAGCCCAGTCTCACGTTACCCCACTAGATGGCGCCAAAGTATTTTAATTATGATGACACGAGGGACTGAATTGAATGAAAGAAAGAGTGAGGGAAGTTGATGAGTGAGGGGAATGAGTGACGTGTAACGAATGAGGGAGTGAAGGGAATGAAGGTGTGAGAATTAGATTCATGAGTGAGTGAAGCCTCACTCAGCCTTCCTTCACGAGAGTGAGGGGAGTGAAGGGCAATTTGCCTCGAGGTGGAAATGAGTGAAGTTGAGTGAAGCGAGATTCACTTGCACAGGTATGCACCCATCCATCCCCTTCCCCATCCTACCCATGTTAACCGTAACACGAGTAAGATAGGTGATCGAAAACTAACCCTCGCAAATGTTTAATGACGTAATATATGGACGACCCCTTACTGTAATGCATAATGTCTATAAATATGTCTTAAGAGGTCCTTTGGCTTGTAGTCTCATTTGTTTGTTAAACAAATGAGACCAAATGAGACAAATGAAACAAATGAAACAATTCCACATTGAGTAAACTCTAAATATGTCACTCTTGAGTGTATCAAAATATGCAAATGAGGTGAAACGCACAAATACTTCCATTGAAAGAATAAAATTTAAGAAAATTACACTTTCAAAAGTAAATATGCACACTCAAAACAAAATTTGTCAATTCAACACCGCCGATGTCACTATATGACTTAGCCGCCTTGGTTACAATTGTGATTCCGGAAATTTTTCCTTCAGGTCATAACGTCATAACTACCGATATTAAAACTATCATAACTCGGATTTAACATTTTAGCCAAGGCGGTTAAGTCATATATTTACAACGGAGGTGTTGATTTGACAAATTTTTGTTTTGGGTGTACTTCTTCCAAACTTACAATGGAGAGGTGTCAGGTGGTTATCGCCAATGTGGACGGGACTAATTTTAAATTGTTCAGGCCCAGAAATAAGCCCACCCGTATTTTTTCGTTTTCCTGAATGGGCATATTTACGCCCGTGGCGGAATTTTCAAAAAAAATTTCAGCCAAAATCCTGATTTTTAAAAACACTCTAACTTTTCGAATTTTAGCCCGATTTCAAAAATTGAGTACAATTTGTGTTCAGAATTACTTCCCTGAAAATATAAAATTTCATTTCCAAAATTTTTTTAATTTTCAAAAAATTATCGTTTTTTTCATTTCTAAACACTCAGAAATGGCATGAAAATATTAAATTTAAAAAATTTTTGTTTTATATTTTCAGGGAAGTAATTCTGAACACAAATTGTATTCAATTTTTGAAATCGGGCTAAAATTCGAGAAGTTAGAGTGTTTTTAAAAATCAGGATTTTGGCTGAAATTTTTTTTGAAAATTCCGCCACGGGCGTAGATATGCCCATTCAGGAAAACGAAAAAATACGGGTGGGCTTATTTCTGGGCCTGAACAATTTAAAATTAGTCCCGTCCACATTGGCGATAACCACCTGACACCTCTCCATTGTTAGAACATGTAAATACTGAACTTCCACCAAGACCCCATTTCAATCAGGGTGTCGACCTCGTCCAAATAAATGAGTGCAGGTTTATTTTTCATCCCCGCGCCGAATATCCAGTCGAAATAATTTGTCACGGCTTCAGCGCATTTTGACAGATGGAATTTCGTTTTCCTAAAAATCGTCACCTCACGATTTTCACCCTGAAGGGGCATCTCATTCCAAGTCGCGGTTGCAAGAAGCTTTGCATTTGCCAAATCTCCATGTAACAAAACCATTGGGACACCGCCATTTCCCGTGATGGCGTTAATGTCCCGATTTATGAAGGGTCCTATAACCTTGTCCTGGAGGAAGCGGGCCTCTTCAAAAAACATTTGTTCATTCAAAATTCCCAACATCTGAAAAGTTATTCATTCATTGCTCAACTATCAACATTCATAAATATTTAATCGTTTTATCTCAAATTCTCCGTATTAAATACATGGATTTTTCAACACATCCCTTGTATTAAGCATAGCGTGAAAAATGAATAATTGTGAAAAAAAAACAATTCATTCTGCATATGAATATGGAATGAATAAATATTTATGTAAGATTCATTCACTTTAAATATTCGAAAAAACCATGTATTCATTTCTTATTCATAAATTTATTGAGTAATGAATGAATTGTTCATTTATTCCCTCTGTATTAAATAAATGAATGTGAACAGTTATGACCTCTATGGCAAATCCCGCGTCCCGCAGCGTGTCAAACGTCACATTTCTGTCCCCCTTGTCACCCCGCCACTCGAACTTGTGCAGTAAATTGTTAAACCAGCCAAATTCTCTGTAGGCAACGATTTTCCAAAAATGTAAGGATAACAATAGAACTAGAACGCTACCAAAGAGCAGGACAAATACTAAGGTGATTGAAACTTTGCCCTGCGTTTCCCCTGGAGAAATTGATGGTATTTTAGTCGACATGGTTTGTGTATATACAGTCAATGGAAAAAGTATTGGCAACCCCCACGTCAGCTAAATAAAATTGGCTATAACCATGGAATGCATCATACAATTGGTATGGAAATTTGTACCCATTTAGCAAATATAATGTAGTTTTCGATTATAATCATGATTTATTAATTAAAATTAGATAAACACAGTTTTTAAATAATTTGTTGGAAAATTTGCAAAATTTACCCGCAAAAAGTATTGGCAACCCTTAACTTAAAAAATCATAAATCAAAGAAACGCCAATTTTATTATGACAAACTGCTTCTAGTATTACGTAGCACCTCCCCTCGACGTAATACAAGCAAAAATACGTCGTGGAATTGATTCAACAAGTTTCGTTATAACGCTTTTCTATATGGCTGCCCACACTTCCTTTGAACTTTTGACAAGCTCGTTTTTCGAAGAGTGGTTTCCCACCAGTCCCTCTTTTCTGAATCCGGACAATCAGAATCACATCGGGAGACTGTGCAATCAACGAAAGAAGCTTAACCTTTTTGATCTCCAAAACCTTGCATCGTTAAATTGGCTACATGTTTGGGGTCACTGAATTTTCGGAATATAAAATTCCTTCATAGGTCAGATTTTTATCAAATAATTTCAAATTATCGTTTAGAATGATTATTTGGACCTCATTGGTCATGATTCCATCGATAATGACCAGCTACCTACGCCACGACCTAGTCATTTAACACCAAACCATAATCGCTCCTCTTCTGTGTTTAGCTGTCATACGAACATATTCGTTTTTGTGAGCCTATTATGGCATCCGCCAGACTTGAACCA